CCACGCAATGATATGATAAGACATTCTGTTTGACCTTAAAATGAGACAGGAACTTTCACCCCTATAATGTCAAATAACTAAATCTGTAACAAACAAGTCTTGCAGAAAGTCCCTGTCTGGGTTGCAGCTGTGACGTGTGACTTTTCTATACAGAAAGGAGAACTGGAGCAGATGAGGAAAATATTGCTTTATTGTCTTACTAATCACTCTTTTCTTTTGATATATATTTGCTATTGGAGGAATATACTCCCATTTGCCTCACTATTCATAATTTACAATATGTGTTTTTGTCAGATATGATGATGTCTCCTGATATAGCGTACTTCTACTTAACACCTGTTATAATGTGTTTCTAACTAACTGCTAAAACCACAAGAGCTGTGTGTGGGTGCTGGCTGGAGACAGAGCTGCAGAGGGGCTTCCCCTAGATGGGTGCATACACAGGTCAAGAGTTCATAGACAGGACTAGGAGGAAAAGCAGATGTGGGTAGATGCAGCATTTTATACTGCTTTCTGTGTATGCATGATGTATGATGCTTTAATAAAATTGATATTATCCTGATAATTCTATAAGGAAGTTATGATGCTCAGCTGTGCTTTGATGATTTTTTGCTACAGTTGCTTGCTGCACCCCAGATGTCAGTAGTGTCAAGTATGTCAAGGAGAAGTGATACTTTCACCTGCCCTTTTGTTTCTGTGTGCAGAGGTATCTCTGTGTGCAGACCACAGACCTTTGAGAGATGATTCTGCCTGATAACAGCTGATGGCAACAATAGAGATTGGGGGTAACTGATCAGAGGAGTGGCCAAAAAGATTGAACGCTGCTGATGGATAAAAGGAGGGAGTCGAGAGAGTTTGAGAGCTTTTGGACATCCAGACTGCTTGGCTGACGGTTCTTCAAAAGCCCAGGATCCTGACCTTCGCTTTATTCACTTATGCTCAATAAATAAATTCATTGATTTTGATTAATTGACTCCTGACCGATTATTGAATTGGGGTGGACTAAGGCAAGTGAGAAATAGTCCAACAGTACATACATACATGTACAGTTTCAGTACAAAATCGTTCAGTACATGCAGTAAATTTCAAATTTTTTAACATAGATATCTGCGGCTTATAGCCCGGTGCGGTTTGTATAACTTTTTTCTTTTTTTTTTAAATAGCGCGCATGTGGCTTATATACAGGTGCGCTCTATAGTCCAGAAAATATGGTAATTGTATTTTTACATTTCTCTAGGATAAGAAAATTCCTTGCATAAGAAAGGAACTCTTGGAAAAAAGAAGGAAGAGAGTGGATTGCCAATGCCAAATTTCTGCTCCAATTTTGTTAAATCCATTGTTCCCCCCCTCTCTTATAGATTCAGCGTTCCAATGATGGTCTAGGAAGGGAGTTAACTGTGATAAGAACCTGTTAAAAGATGCCATATTTTTCTCATTTCAACAGTTAAGAACAGACATTGAGATTCCACACTCTAATTTTTTTAGGTACCTTCAGGTCTTTGGTTTCGTTAAAAAAACTTCTCTCCTTCACTGAACCAACCAAAAGCATGCTGTATAGATGAATTGGTAAACATGAACCCATATCAAAAAGGTGTAATGTCCATGTTATATGAAGTGATCCAAAGAACTGCCTCTACTTCCCTAAATCGTATAAAGCAAAACTGGGAAGACCAACTGGGACTAGAAATATCAGATACAGCCTGGCAATATGCCATAGAACTGGTACACTCATCTTCTGTATGTATTAGACATGGTCTTCTTCAGTTTAAGGTGCTTCATAGGCTTCACCTATCTAGGAGCAAGCTGGCAAAAATGTATTCAGGGTCAGATTCATCTTGTCCCAGATGTGGTTTGGAGCCAGTAGTTCAAAGTCATATGTTCCGGGGATGCCCTAGATTACATCATTTTTGACCAATATTTTTAGATAATTTTCATCTAAATGTAATAAAGATATGGATCCTAATCCTTTGATCTCAATTTTTGGTACAGTGGCAGAAGAAATGTACCTGTCAGCTAATCACGTCGAAATCATTGCCTTTTCTTCTTTACTGACCAGACACCTGATTCTTCTCAGGTGGAAAAAGACGAACCTGCCATCCCACAATCATTGGATATTAGAAGTGTTATCACATCTTTAACTCGAGCACCTTAAGTACACCATCCGAGGCTCTACAAAAAAAGTTTTATGAGGTTTGGCAGCCTTTCCTATCCTACACTGAACGCTCAGGGGTTATTATATCCTAAGTGAGAGTTTATCCCTAATTTCCTGATTTGTTTTTACCTATTTTTATTTTTCTCTTTTTCCCTTTTTCTTTATGGGATATGAGTATGTCTGTAGGTATGTACCATGTTAATTTGTTCTTTAATTTGTTTGTTGTGGAAAAATCAAAGACTTTTGAAAAATCAATAAAAATATTTGAATAATAAGAATGTAAGCAGTACTAAATAGTTTTTTGAACAAGTAATAATCCCATTAATCTAGTTATAGTACATGTTCCTGTTGAAGATCTGTGAATTTAAACTATTTATTCATTAAAGAAGGACAAGCCATTCTCATACGTGACTTTGTTCTTTGAGTGACTGAAATGTAGGCAATAGCTATGTTTCCATCCAAAAATGCAAATTAAATTTATTTGCAAAACTGGAAGATCACAAAAAATATTCAAATAAATTAGCGTTTCCATCCAATGAATCAAAGAAAACAAAATCGTCACTTCCTGATTAACTAGCATGAAATATCAACAGTAAAAACAGAATTTACTGCAGTAGGAGAAGCTACATGAATCTTTTCTTTATTTAATAAAAGACTTTCACATCAGAGGATAATGCCGACACACAATGAACATGTGGTAGTGTTTGAAGCAATGAGATGTGGAGAACAGACGCTCTTGACTCGCTCCAGACACTCTGGAGGTCATTAATAATATAATAACATTAATACTTAAACAGTTGAGGTGTTTTAGAATGACCAAAACAGCATTTCTCATATTTTTTAAATGTCTGGGTAAACAGACACTTTTTCCTCTTTGAACACAAAACATTTTCTTTTGAGAAACTTTTTAAATAATTTGGAGCAGTAAACATGTATGGCTAAATCATACAAATAAATCCTTGACTTCTGCTGTCTTCTTTGGTTTCAAAAACACAGATTTCTTTACAGTTTGAAACAGCATCTTTGGATATCTTTTCTGCTGGAGATACTGTTGTCCTAAAACAAAATGTAAAAAAAAAAAAAAAAACTTACATATACAGATGAACGGTACAGCAGAAAATATTGGCGGTTTTAAAACCTTGACTTTTTTCAAACTGCGTTATACCTTGAAAACAGTTATTGTCCTACACCTCAGCAGCACAACACTGTTTTTAGGATCTAAAAATGTATTCTTTAAAAAAAAAGTCTCAAGCAAAAAGATTCCAATTTCAATGTCTGCTGGTACTTGAAGAATATGGTCAATATTCTGATGAACTTTACACTCAGATGTTTGCATATCATCAGCATGCTGTAATCCATTTCTTAAGCAACAAAAGTCATTTTAGACTAGTTTGTTGGCCAGTTGTAGTCAGTACAATGCTAAACATTATTGTTCCACTATGATTTTATTGTTTTGTCTCACGTCGTCCCACAACAACAAAATATAGTTTAGAATACAATATTTTATAATAATTAATTAATTCAGTGTCCATTTCATTCAGCATATTTCAAATTAGGGGCATCCACATTTTCTGACATACTTTAAATCAGGGTTTCTACAGGTGTCACCAAGTTAAATTTAAGACTTAAGACATTTTTTAAGACCATTATGAATGAAATTTTAGATTAAGGAATTTTTCAAATGCCCCAGATGAAAAAGATTTTTATTTGTCCTATCAAAAAATATAATATAAAATATTTAATAATACAATAATAAATCAATAATAATAATAATAATAATAACAATAAAATATTTTACATATTTCTTAGCAAAAAATCTTAAATATTGTGTAAAAACAAGAGAGCTCTACTTGGATCCACACTTTTTTTTCCAAAATAAACTTTCTTTAAAATAAAAAACAAATTCACAAATGTTTTACTAACTATACTAAACTATAATAAACTAAATCTATGCACAACAATCTGTCCAGGTCGATGTCCTCAGCAGAAAAAACATAGAGCACGTTTAAACAAATGAAGCACGAAAATAATTAAAGCATTATGAGAAATAGAGTTAAAATGACCTTTTTGAATGAAAGGTTAAAGGTTTTATTGAGATGGATTGTTGGTGATTGTATGGGTTTCGGCCAGATTAGGTAGCAAAACATGAAAAAAGGAAAATGAAGACTTGTTTTAAAAAGATTTAAGACCTACAACACAATCTTTCAGTAAATTTAAGACTTTTTAAGGCCTAAACTTTTAGGTTTTTGAATTTAAGACATTTTAAGACCCTGCGGCTATTAAATAGGGAATAGCCCTGATAATTAGTTATTATAATAATGATGATGTAATTGTAGATACTATCAGTGAGAACTAGTAACAACTACTACAAACAAGTTTAAACCCATAAAGAAGTTGATGAAAAAAGGGAATTGTGATCAACGTGACCTATGCAAATGGAAAGTACTAAGCCAACACCATCACTGTAATAGCAGATGATCTCTTCTATGAGAATACTGTAGGTCAAATATTCTCAGCTCAGTTAAACTTTTTTAATTTATTGTTTTTATTTGTTTTATATAGTGCCAGTGCTCAAGGACGCTTTACAAACAGTAGGAGAACAAGAAAAGCAATAACCTCAAGAAGGTAGAGAAAATGGGAGACTAATAATACATAAAATAATGACAAAAGACACGAGAACAAGTTACAAATGAAACACATTCCTTTTTTTCAATGAGTGCTTATGTGAATTTAGGAGAACTAGGCAGCACAGTCAGGACTGCAAGATGGATTTAATTTAGTATTATTATTAAAATATATCTGAATGAGGATCAGATGACTGAGTTGGTGTTTGAGAATGAAAACCAACCTGTTTGTTCCTGCAGATCTTCCTGTTTGACTGTGAATGTTTCTTTAATCTTCACATCTTCACTCTCCTCTTTAATAAACGCCATCTTTATAACAGTGTGGAGATCAGTCGCTTCAGCAGGAGTTTTTCTCTGTGTTTAGACACTTTATCCTGTTTAAAATGAACAACACAATAAAAAATGTCCTGTTTAAAAAAAAATAAAACAATGAACAGAAACAAAATAACTTCTCTTCAACACTTGCTTTAACAGTTTCCTTATATGACAGTCATTAACAAACAGAAATCAGGTAAGTCTGAGCAAGAAACAATAGACACAAATGAGCCGATTAAGACTAGTACTCCATTTCTTATATATAGTGATGTATACTTCGAATAGAATGACATTATGCTATTTAATGAATTAAACCTTCACTAAAACACTTATTACACACTTTACTGTTGCTTTATTTAAACTTTAACAAATGTTGTTAATTATTTTCTTTGTTTTATTTATTTTATTGTCTGCTTACAGCAACGCTGTAGAACTTATTTGCACAAGACAAGAATTTCCTCTTGGGAACAAATAAAGTTTATCCTATCTTATTCAAACAATAGACCTTACTGTGAGTAAAATAATACTTCTTTGTATAAACGGTTAAAATAATATTGTCCACAGCAGGTACATTTAGCATTAAACGAACAACCTGAAATTTTAATCAGTCGGTTTACATCTGTGTAAAAGCTTTAAAAACAAACCTTTCTCCAGTTGAATCACAGTGTGGGAGCGGCGCAGCCTTATGACATCACACCACCATGCCACAATAAAAGTCTTTTTCCCCCCCATTTATTCTTTATCATGACTTATTGATACATTTCTCCCTCGTTTTCCACTTTATACTTTATCTGCTTTCTGTTTTGTACTTGTAAGACCATCATTTATGTTCATTGAATAAACCCATTTACCCCCACTAGATCTTGGCCTTCAGGTAGGTTGGTAAGAGGTTGCATTTTCTTTGAACGATTGCATTTCTTCATCCATAGCTTTAACTCATTCACTTGCATTCACTGATGTTACCACCTCTTTGTATGTTTGAATGGGGAAACATCAAATTCTCCAAAATTGACTGCCAGGTTCCAAGCTATATATGTAATAGGTTGAAACTTATTTGGGCTACAGTCCATTTGTCAGGATAAAAACAATATTTATAACCAAATAAACAAACAAACAAACAAACAAAAAAACTAAACAGTTGTGAAGAAGCTTTTTAAAATGACTGAATAACTTAATAGAACGTTGAACAATGCATCCACACATGTTTAGATTTTACATTTTATAATATTAGCATTCAGATATTATTTGAGTGTAAATTCAGAATGTGCAACTCACCTTTTCAGTCTTCAATGAAGAAGTGGGATGAGAAATGGCCTCAGTGGGTTTTTCTTTGTAGGTTGTTGTTGGTAATAATCCCAATGTAGGAATCTAAAATTGTAGTTTGTCCTCCAAAGTTGTTTTCGTATAGCAAAATAAGCCAATGAAGATTCTTTTAGGAACCCAGAATATATAGATGCAACCCTGCTGAGATACTGGATCTGGAATGTGATTGGATAAGACTCAATTGGCCCCCATTAATTCTAGTATAAAGATGCAAATGAGCAGTGGGGAGCAGTGAAGACTCGAGACACATTACTGTAGAGGATGGGAAGTTCAGCAGCTTTACAAACCAGTTTAAAGAGAAATAATGATGTATTGGGAAAATAAGTTGACTTTAGCCATCTTCATTTGTTTTGTTGCTGTTGTTTTATAGGACTTTTGATGAAAGCTTTTTTTTATTTTGGCTGCTGCATTTTGTAGTTAATGTCGATACACTTATGATATGTAACACATTTCAATTTATTTTTTCCCAAGCCTGGTTAAAAGGTAGTGCAAGATTTGTGTGTTGTTTTTGCAGAAGCTTCTCAGAGTCTCTTGGCTGAAGTCTTTGTTTAAAGATGCAAATGAGCATTGAAGACTCAGTCCATACCGATTTATCAATACACACAACTACATTCACTTATATAATAGTTATAGAAGATGTATACTATTAAACTGTGATATATTATCCTTCGTTGAAAGAAACAATTTCTAAACTTCACAGTGAAGTTTTATTCATGTTAAGTTTAGTCAATATATTGACATGAGCTAACTATTAGCAATGTTTTAGTTATTTATTTATCACTGAACTTGTTCTTTATGTGAGTTTAGAGTCCTTTATTTCTCTTAAAGCACATGCAGCTCATTACTGACTTTTGTAATAGTCAACACACTCTTAACAGATCAATTATTTCCTTTCAAAAATGTCTCTAGATTTTAACTATTAAAATGTAACTTGTTTCTGTGCCAATTTTTTTCTTTTTTTGCCTCTTATTCACCTGGTATGTATTAAAGATGTTTTTCCCTTTATTTGTGTTTGTTCAAACAAATATGCATAGACATTCACAAAAGCATATATAAGATACCATGTGACAAAACCTTTTCCTTTTAACACAGTAAAGCTATCACATACTGTGATGCATCTAAATATTTATAATCAGAAAATAATTACATTTCAAGTTAAATTATTGTATAGGCAGTTTATACAGAATAATTCAATGACAAGAGTTCACTTTCATAACTACACAATGCAGAACTGTTAATGTGATTAACCTGCTCCACCTACACCAACTACAGCATTTCGCAGACTTCTTTTTCACAATGGTGTTAATTACAGTAGTGAACATGACATAAAACAACAACTGCACTTACTCCTTTAACCTGTTTGCAACAATGAATTTTAAATATCTGTGTAACATATTCATTTAAATAAATGGCTCATCATTGTGTGCAATCATCTTTAGTAATAGCTGCCTGACCATTAACTGAATAGGACCATTTTACATATAAGAAACCCGTTAACATGTATAGCTGTTCATGCCAATACCAACTTGATAGACTATTACATGAACATATTACATGAACAGGACCTGCCTAACATCTCTTAAGACAAATAAGCATAGTGTCTATAACAATACATGCTTGATTCTCCAGATCACTACATCTGAATCGTGCCTTTTGACCTGTTTTAAAAATAACAACCATTTGTAAGCATAGTTCTTCACTAATACCAGTTTACCTCAAATAATTACACATGTAAGTGCAGTGGGTAGCTCGATCGCCTCACAGCAAGAAGGTCGCATGTTCAAGCCTCAGCTGGGTCAGTTGGCATTTCTGTGTGGAGTTTGCATGTTCTTCCCGTGTTCGTGTGAGTTTCCTTCGGATGCTCTGGTTTCCCCAAAGTCCATAGACATGCGGTATGCATGCAGTGTGAATGAGTGTGTATGCATGTTTCCCAGTAATGGGTAGCAGCTTGAAGAGCATTCGCTGTGTCAAGCATGTGCTGCATAAGTTGGCGGTCCATTCCACTATGGTGACTCCTGATTGATAAAAATAATAAAAATAAATGAATACATGAGTAATATCACACGAGTAGCAGTGCGATGTTGCCTTCTATCAGTTTTTGTATTTCTATTTGTTGTAATGGCCAGTTGTTATTGCAATAAAAAATGAATAAATACATTTTTAAAAAGCAGTGCAATGTGGCTGTAGGCTGTATATCAGCACTGATGGGAGGCGTGTTTTACAGTGTACACTAAGCACTCAAGAACGATTGTCCCTCTACCTGTTGTTTAATCCCCTGAGAACTTTGCTCATCTTCAGAACTCAAATGAAGACACTTTAGATGAAATAAGAGAGCTCCTTCATCTGTCATAGACAGCAAGAGTGCCGAGATGCTCAAAGTCCAGAAAAGGAGCCAAAAACATTTTTAAAACATGTGACATATGACTTTAGTGGTTCAACTGTAATCAAGTTTCAAGAACATTTTGTGTGCAAGAAAATGTTGAAAAAAGCAGCCAGGTCCAAAATGAGAACAGCTGAACCATGTCTGTTTTTGCCTCCGTATTCTCTTCATTTGCATTCAGCAGAAACTCAAACAGGTTTGGCTCAAGTAGAGGATGAGTAAATGACAAAATTGTGATTTTTATGTGAACTATCCCTTTAATGCTTCTGAAGTAAAGGTAAATTAAATATTATTACTGAAGATATTGCTAAAGAATGGCAGGAATTGTGGAACACAGATAACAAGAGACGACAATTCATGTGGAAAAAAGGAAACTCTATATAGACCTATGATGTTTTAGAAATAGAAAAGAAGAGGTCATAATTATGAGGATGAGATTTGGACTCAGATATTATTCATTCATTTTCTTGTCAGCTTAGTCCCTTTATTAATCTGGGGTCGCCACAGCGGAATGAACCGCCAACTTATCCAGCAAGTTTTTACACAGTGGATGCCCTTCCAGCCATAACCCATTTCTGGGAAAACTCAGATATTAATAGGAAGTAATGTGTTGCAGACATACAAGTCATCATAAGTGGATTAAAAAAGTTAAGAAAATGTTTAGATTTAAGGTTTGTGTGAGAGAAAGCAGATATAGTGTAAAGTGAAAACCATGGGAGAAATATATCAATAAGTCATGACTGCAAAAGTAAGTGGCAAGAAAGCTAAACAAGAAAAGACTTTTATTTTGGCGTGTGACGTCATCAGGCGGCGCCGCTTCAGCGCTGTGATTCAACTGGAGAAAGGTTTGTTTTAAAATGTTTACACAGATATAAACCGATTTAAAGTTAAAGTTCGAAGGTTTTAGTTTTTATACGATGCTAAATTATGTTCCTGCTGTTGGAAATATTTTAATCCTTTATTCAACGTAGTACTATTTTATTCTCAGTAACCGAGGGCTATTGTTTGAATAAAGTAACAGAAAAGTGTGTAATAAGTGTTTTAAAGACACGTTTTGTTAATTACTCTCATATAAAGAAACTGTTGAAGCAAGTGTTGAAGAGAAGTTATTTTGTTTCTGTTCATTGTTTTATCTATTTTAAACAATGGAGGTAAAGTTTTATATTCACACATTCGTTCATTTAGCAGTCTATGTATTGTTTATCATGTTGTTTTGAATATTCGAGTGGAATTAGCATGCAAGTATGACTTGAAAACAACATTAACACTGTTTATTTGACTGTGATCAATGTTGTACTTTGATAGTCATTAGCTGCTTATATGATTTCACTATTTAGATTTTGCAAATAATACTTTTATGAAATTATATTATTAAGGGAAAAGTCTGAATATCTGAATATAAAACCAACTTTACCTCTATTTTTAAACAGGACATTTTTATTGTTTTATTCGTTTTAAACAGGATAAAGTGTCCAAACACAGAGAAAAACTCCTGCTGAAGCGACGGATCTTCACACTGTTGTAAAGATGGCGTTTATTAAAGAGGAGAGTGAAGATGTGAAGATTGAAGAAACATTTACAGTCAAACAGGAAGATCTGCAGGAACAAACAGGTTAGTTTTCATTCTCAAAGACCAACTCAGTCATATAGAGGTAAAGTTGGTTTTACACATTCGTTCATTTAGGAGTCTCTATATTGTTTATAGCATGAAAGTATAACTTGAAATCACAGCATTTGACTGTGAACAATGTTGTACTTTGATAGCCATTGACTGCTAATTTGATTTCACTATTTAGAGTTTGCAAAAATAATTTTATGAAATTATAATATTAAGGGGAAAGTTTGAATGTGCGAATATAAAGCCAACTTTACCTCTATAATTAAATCCATCTTGCAGCCCTGAGTGTGCTGCCTAGTTCTCCTAAATGCACATAAGCACTCATTGATAAACAGAAATGAGTTTCATTCGTTACTTGTTCTCATGTTTTTTGTCATTATTTTATGTATTATTAGTCTCCCATTTTCTCTACCTTCTTAAGGTTATTGCTTTCCTTGTTCTTCTACTGTTGGTAAAGCGTCCTTGAGCACTGGCAATATATAAAATAAATAAATAAAAACAATAAATTGAAAAAGTTTAACTGAGATGAGGGCGAGGCAGTGGCGCAGTAGGTAGTGCTGTCGCCTCACAGCAAGAAGGTCGCTGTTTCGAACCTCAGCTCAGCTGGCGTTTCTGTGTGGAGTTTGCATGTTCTCCCTGCCTTCGCGCGGGTTTGCTCCGGTTTCCCCCACAGTCCAAAGACATGTGGTACAGGTGAACTGGGTAGGCTAAATTGTCCGTAGTGTATGTGTGTGTGTGTGTGTGGATGTTTCCCAGAGATAGGTTGCGGCTGGAAGGGCATCTGGAATATTAAAGGGACTAAGCTGACAAGAAAATGAATGACTATAACTGAGCTGTCGATATTTGACCTACAGTATAGTAGTATATCATAGAAGATATCTGCTATTACAGTGATAGTGTTGGTATAGTACTTTCCATTTGCATATGTCACGTTGATCACAATTCCCTTTTTTCATCAACTTCTTTATGCGGTTAAACTGTTAGAATTATTATAATACCTAATTACCAGGGCTAATAAAAATTTTAGGCCTTAAAAAGTCTTACATTTACTAAAGTATTGTGGTGTAGGTCTTTATTTTTATTTTTTTTAACAAGTCTACATTTTCCTCTATTCATGTTTTGCTACTCAGCCTGTCCAAAATCACCAACAATGCATCTCAATAAAACTTAAAATTACCTTTTTAAATAAAAAGTTTAAACTCTATTTATCATAATAGTTTAATTATTTTTTCTCACAATAACTTTTGTTTAAATAAGCTCTATGTATTTCCTGCTGAGGATATCGACTTGCATAGATTTATTTTATTATAGTTTTTAAAACTTTTCAAAATATTTGCAATTTTTTTTTAAATAATTTTTTAAAGGTTATTTTGAAAAACAATTACAAAACAATACAACTAGAGCTTTTGTTAAGAAATATCGAAAATATTGTTTTTTTTTCATTATTCATTTATTATTGTATTATTAAATAAAAATATATATATTTTGAAAGGGCAAATTAAAATCTTTTCCATTTGGGCCATTTGAAAAATTTCTTTATGTCAGAAAGCTTGGATGCGCCCAATATTAAATATGCTGAATGAAATGGACAGTAAAATAATTAACTGTTATAAAACATTGTACAGTATTCTAAACTATATGATGTTGTTGAGGGACGACATGAAGCAAAGCTAACAATTTATAGTGGAACAATAACGTTTAGCATTGCACTGACTACAACTGGCCAACAAACTAGTCTAAAATGACTTTTGCTGTTTAAGAAATGGATTACAGCATGCTGATGATATGCAAACATTTGAGTGTAAAGTTTGTCAGTATTGACCATATTCTTCACGTACCAGCAGGTGCCGCCATTGGACGGTATTAGGCATGGGACAATGACAGTTTTCAAGGTATACCGCGGTTTAAAAAAAGTTTTAAAAACAATATTTTTGCTGTACCATCCATACGTTTTTTTACATTTTGTTTGAAGATTTTCAGGACAACAGTGTCTCCAGCAGAAAATATATCCAAAGATGCTGTTTTAAATAGTAAAAAAAATTAATTTGAATTATTTAGCCTGACATGTTTACTGCTCCAAAATACTTTCAAAGTTTCTCAAGTGAAAATATGTTGTGTTCAAAGGGGAAAAAAAAGTTTAGGTTTTTTAACCAGACATTTAAAAAGAATATATTTATAAATGGTAATCACAGTACTGAGAAATCATGATATTTTTAGTCAAGTTTATCACACCGTCAGAATCTTATACTGGTCTGTGACGGACTGAGCCAGCACATATAGTAAGGGGCATACAAAAAGTAGATTTTTTAAAATAATTATTTTTAATAAAGTCAAAAAATTTCTCAAAAACTCAAAAAATAAATAAATGAAACAATTAAATCAATTAAAAAATCAATAAACTAAACAAAGAAAACAAAACTGAGTTCAAACCAAACTAATCATGAATAAACCAAAAACAGAACTCCTTGAAATGACAAGACAGACCACATTTATACCAGGGGTCCGTTCTTCGTACCTTGCTTAAATGATCTAAGATTATTTGGCAGATCCCGGATCTTTTAATCTTGATAACTGATCTCTCGCTAATTTGGTTCTTCAAACGAGTTCGCGGATCAGATTAGAATGTCTGGATAAACTGATCTGAGATCGCTGCGTGTGTTGTAAAGGACAGATGTATCGATCCTCGAAATCATGATCAGCAATGCAACGATTGGATGACGGCACAGCAGCGTAATGACATCATCTGATTAATATTCAAGTATCCATGTGAGCAAAATTACGTCAAATTAGCAGTAAACGGCTTGTTTAATATGACACGCAATAACCTTCCACATTTGTTGTGAGCTGCAGGCTTTACACTTTCATGTGTCAAGTGTATTATTCATGTATTTCGAAGCAAATCAGTGTATTTAGTTCCACATTTAGAAAAGATTTTCTTTATTATAGTAGCCATTTTGTAATCGGTGTAAAGAATAACTGGTTGTTTACAAAAGTGTTTTCATATTGGTAAAGGCGTCTGCAACTTTTGTGAAGCATCAAATCACCGGCATATTAACTATCAAAACATGTTTATGACTGCTGAAATGATTGCTTTAAAAAAGTCACATATTGTGCATTTCTATTATACACAATTTGTACTAAAGCGATCTAAAAAGTTCATATCAATAAGCTTTCTCTTTGCACCACCAGGTGGCAATCTTTGTAGCCTACTTTTATTTCGAGGGTGCAGATTGCATACGTTTTATTAAAATGTATAACTTAATTTATTTTATTAATGACTATAACTTTATATATATAGTTAAAAATATGTACCATTTCCCTAACTTTATATAACTACTACTGTAAGAAAATATCAGAATTCGGTACATACTTTCTGTATTATCTTTGCTTGAACTAAGCCAATCTAATCCTGTTTATATGATTTGAACCTGCTCCCGATCAGGTTTGACCTAGCAGAACTGTTGCTATGACAACAACTCTCGGATCAGCTTTGAAGAACGAAACGATCCTGGATCATGTCAAATCGTCAATATCCAAATCCAGCTAACTGAGTAATCCACGTACGAAGAACGGACCCCAGAGGGACTAGTCCACAGTAAACAAGAAGGGGGAGACAAAAACAGACAACAACAATAAACCAAGTCAAATATCTAAATACAAATCTAAATATTAGTTAAATAAATTCTAAATGAAGCAAAACTAAATATAAATCTGAACAAACACTGCAAATCATTAATGAACTTAAACTAAAGATCAGCTCTCCCTCCAAGCCATTTAGCCAATGGTATCGTCTGGCGGAACCAATAGATGCCACTTGGCGGCACGTCTGCCCTTTAGTTTGTCGGACTACATCCAGAAACTCCGTTCCTCGTCGGCACTGCAGCACGGTAACTTAAACTCAAAACAAAACTAAATTAACAAAACATACACCACACTGGCCATCACATGGCCCATGCTTAATGCTGCTTGATGTTGCAAAGTCATTCATTCATTCATTTTCTTGTCGGCTTAGTCCCTTTATTAATCGGGGGTCGCCACAGCGGAATGAACTGCCAACTTATCCAGCAAGTTTTTATGCAGCGCATGCCCTTCCAGCCACAACCCATCCCTGGGAAACATCCACACACTCAATCACACACACACTCATATACTATGGACAATTTAGCCTACCCAATTCACCTGTACCGCATGTCTTTGGACTGTGGGGGAAACCGGAGCACCCGAAGGAAACCCATGGGAAGGCAGGGAGAACATGCAAACTCCACACAGAAACGCTAACTGAGCCGAGGCTCAAACCAGCGACCTTCTTGTGGTGAGGCTACAGCACTATCTACTGTGCCTCTGCTTCGCCCCTGTTGCAAAGTCATATTTTCTAATTTAATTCTTTTTCTTTGTATGTATAGACATGAACACATTTGTTTGTGGAGAAAGTAGCCGTTTATTAGTCCTAGTCATTTCTCCAATAGGCAACTGAAGCTTTAAAACAATAGCATCTCATATGCCCCATTTCAGAAAGGAGGTTGAGTGAAAACTCAGAGCATTTTAACCCTGAAATGAGAGAAACTCTGGCATTTGCGTATCAAAATGGCAAGTTTGTGAAATTCGAGAAAGCAGGGTAAGTCAAGCCTGTTTCTGAAAGAGAGGTAACTTGGTAACATACTCTGTGAACCTAACCTGGTCAGCAGGTTTTATTCTCTTAACTCTGTTTTGAGTTTCTGTCGGTCTCCTTTTCTTTTTTTAAAAAAATGAAGCAGTATTTCTCACTTAGCCTTACATATTCAGCCACCTATTTTTATGTGCATATTGGATAGGCTATGAGCGTAAAAAAAACAGTTGATGGAAACATCATGATGCACATAACTTTTGAAATATAGGCATGAAAAAACATGCGCTAAATCTTCACCACATGTTCATTGTGTGCTGACATTGTCCTCTGAGGTGAAAGTCATTTATTAAACACAGAAAAGATTCATGTAGCTTCTCCTACCACAGTAAATTCTGTTTTTACTGTTGAGATTTGGCGCCAGTTAATCAGGAAGTGACGATTTTGTTCTTTTTAAGTCATTAAATGGAAACGCTGATTCATTCATTCATTTTCTTTTTGGCTTAGTCCCTTTATTAATTGGGGGTCGTCACAGCAGAATGGACTGTGTACGTTTTGTTCATTTGTTTTCCATTTTTAAACGGAATAAAGGAAAGGAAAAAAATGGCAGTTTTTCCGTTTTTCTTTTGCTCACAAGAAAACGAAAAACGACATTTTGGCTGGATTTTCGTTTTTTGGTTTAAAGTAGAAAAACGGATAAACGATTTTAATATTCATTTTACACATGTAGGCGGTGCTGAAATGCCCACTTTCCTCTAATTGGTCAACTATTATTATTATTATTATTATTATTATTATTATAACCTTTATTTTACCAGGAAAGACACATTGAGATTAAAAATCAAATCTCTTTTACAAGAGCGTCCTGGCCAAGATTAGGCAGTACACAAGTCACATGAGTCCAACAGACAACAAACAAAAAACTATTTACAGTTAACATGAATCACACTGACATCTATTCAAAACATCTACAAACCTGTTTCAACTTCTAAAACTTTTTAAAAGCTTGTAGTGAAATCAAGTCTTTGAACTGCAACTGTGTTTGCAGATTATTCCAAGCAAAAGGTGCTGCGTACTTAAAAGCCTTTTTTCCCATCTCAGTCCGCACTTTAGGGACAAAGAGTAAATAAATATCCTGTGAGCGAAGACCATAGTTAAGAACAGGCTTTTTACAAATATAATTCTGGAGATATGATGGGAGTAAACCCAGTATAGATTTAAACTAAATCTGATCTCGTGACGTCGCCCTCAAAATAAAAGCCTTACACGCAGGCTTTTAATTATTATTATTTAATTATATATAAACAAAGTTTACATATTCTATCATTTGAACCACACACAGTTAGCAGGCTTACATTCATTGCACATGTATAAATTAAATAAAAATGTAAATTAGCAGTATTCTTAGACATTTTGTCATTAAAATAAGGTCATAGTTTACTGCCAAGTTTCTTGCTGCTGTGCACCTGATGCTGAGCAAAGATGGCCATTTCCGAGCAGCACCTGGTTTGTATGATTGTTTCAGAGCAAGGGCTTTATAATAATAATAACAATAATAATAATAATTATTATTATTATCACTTAGTAGTGTTTTTATTGTTTAGTTTTTTTTCTTTTTAATAGTTGTTAACAGAACAAAAATAGGAACACATTGGGCCCTGCTATAAAAACAGGTTACCATTTGTTTTTATTTTATTTCTTCCTATTTTAATTATATATTGAAATTATTTCTTTGATAATTAATACTATTTTATTGCAACGCCAAAGTAGGCTTGTCTTATTATTTTTTGTAATTTGCTGTTATTGTTATTGTAGGCTACATGGCAGGCTTTGCGAAATTTTTTAAATAATATATACTCATAACCTTACTAATTCGAGAGCCAAACCTAAAAAAGTTTAAGTGCAATAAGCCTGTACAATAAAGTGAGCCGCAATGCATATTTGCATATATGAATGTCTTATCTGCCTAGCTAATCCATTGCAATATTGCATGTTCCACTATTGCACTGTGTTGCCATTTGGCAACACACACATTTGATCGATTTACAAAAAAATTATTTGATAAAAAAAAAAATTTGAGTTGTGAATGTCATCATATCTGACTGGAGGTGATGTTTCATGAGGAGGTGATTTTTTTTGTGGATCTAACATAATTTGATACTTTGTTTTTATTGACGTTTGCATTTGCATTTAGCAACTACTCACAATAAACGCCAGTCTGTCAGAAATCGCGCTACAGAAAAACACTGGATGTCATGTGACTTAACCAAAGCACATCATTGGCTACACAAAGGTATTCTCTTTCAAACAAAAAAAATTATGTTGGTCTTAAAGAAATAGTGGCAGGGAAATGAACATAAGTATCATGTTGCCATATGGTTACACCGTGCAGTAGAGGGCTAGTACATGTGTGTATTTGCATGTCTAAAATATAAAATAAGCATTAGACAGTTAAAACACTGCATAATTGTGATGATATGATGAGCTAACTTGTCATGCTTGTCACGCTGGATAATGAGTAAAACACCAGCACCAGGGACAACAACATGGTCCTCACTTCAAATTGAAACATAAGTAGGAATTTGTAGTGATTTACCCTGATCTCCCTTCCTCCTCATCCCTGTCTTTGAGGCGCTGAACTCATTATCAGTGCGAGAGATAAGTAGAGAGAGACTGTGTTCACTCCTCTCCACGCTGAACTGAAGTGTTTTTTTTAAACATTCAAATGTCTGTGTCGCGCGACACAACGAATCGATTATGAAATTTGTTGCCAACGCTTTTAGTAACTGATTTTTATTGGTTTTGTTGTTGCAGCCCTACTAAAAATATTGTTATGCTGTTTAGGCATGGAACGATAACCACTTTTAATGTATAAAACCGCCAAGTGGTAGTTTTTTAGGACAACAGTGTCTCCAGCAGAAAAGATATCCAAAAATGCCTTTTTAGATGGCATTTCTGCATATTGTCTGGTATATAAATTGTCACCACGTAGGTCTTCAGCAAAGCCTCAGGACATGCACAAAGGCAAGAAAACAAAGGAAAAAGTACAAATGAATGAAAACAAGTAGCAAAGTATGTCATCTTGCAATCTTATCACTTCAGTTTACAGCAAACGTGGCATTAAGCATTTGCATAAGTTCATTAATTTTCCTTCAGCCCAGTACCTTTAATTATCAGCAGTTGCCACAGCGGATTGAACCACCAACTTATCTAGCATATGTTTTAAACAGCGGATGCCCTTCCAGCTTCAACCCAGTACTGGGAAGCAATAGCATAATTTAAATACAATAATGCAAACTCACTAATATAAGCGTGAATTATGCGTACTTGCAAGCAAGTCACAAATGTTTTTAATCGAGTGGAAGATGTACATAAGGGAGCACAACACGAGTAATCTAGAGCGAGTGCATTTGATCATTTGCATTTACAGCCACAGGCACAAAAAAACTTGGTTTTCCTCTGACCCCCAAAATGAAATATTCTGCAAGGTATATGATCTGATTTTGAGCTGAAACCTCAGACACATTCTGGGAACGCCAAAGACTTATTTTACATTTTGTTAAAAAAAAAAAGGATTAATTATAGGAACCCTGTAAAGGGATAGTTGACGCCAAAATGAAAATAGCCTCACCGTTTACTCTTCCTCGTGTGGTTTTAAACCTTTATGAGTTTCTTGATTCAGCTGAACATAGAAAAAAAGATATTGTGAAAAACTCTAGTTTTCTTTGTGTTTCAGAAGAAAGGGAATGTTTAAAACTGCAAGATGGAGAGTAAATGGTAATTGATCATTTTCATTTTTGGGTGAAACATCCATTTCATGCTTCTCGCTTTGAGCTTTCATTCTTTTCTTTTAAAGACCTGATGGTGCTGAAAGAAGAGACTCATCAACTGAATGTAATGGAAGAGAAACAGCAGTTTGAGAAACACCAAGTAATAACGACTGATGAAAAACCCACACTGACTAAAAAGACTTCATCACGTGGAAGACCTCGGAAATCCAAGTCTATGTGTAATTACAGCTGTACACGGTGTAGAAAGAGTTTCAGTAAAAAGTCAAACCTTGATATTCACATGAGAGTTCACACTAAAGAGAAACCTTACACCTGCAAACAGTGTGGAAAGAGTTTTGGTTATATACAAGGCTTTGAAAACCACATGAGCATTCACACTGGAGAGAGGCCGTACACATGCCAACAGTGTGGAAAAAGCTTCTATCATGCAGGAAATTTTGCAGCGCACATGAGAACTCACACTGGGGAGAGGAAGTATACATGCCAACATTGTGGAAAAAGCTTCTCTAAAACAGGAAACTTGGCAGTGCACATGAGAATTCACACTGGGGAGAAGCCTTACTCTTGCTCTCAGTGTGGAAAGAGTTTTAAGCAAAATGTCACCCTTAAAATCCACATGAGAACTCACAATGAAGAAAGAATTTTTACCTGCACACAGTGTGGGAAAAGTATTTCTCACAAGCACTACCTTGACATCCACATGAGGATTCACACTGGAGAGAAACCTTACACATGCACAGAGTGTGGTAAAAGTTTCCCATATAAAGGCTCACTCAAACATCACATGTTAAGTCACACCGGAGAGAAGCCGTTTACATGTGCTCAGTGTGGAAAGAGCTTCACAACCAAAACTAGCCTCATGAACCACATGGATGGTCACACTGGAATCATAGTGTTCACATGTGATCAGTGTGGAAAGACCTTCACACGCAAAGACTCTATGAAGCAACACATGAAGACTCACTCAGGAGAGGATAGTTTTAGATGCAGTGAGTGTGGAAAGGGCTTTAAATGTAAAAGAAGTCTCAGCACTCACCTGAAGCTTCACAATGGAGAGCGAAAATGAGGCCTTGTCCAGCGGAGCTTGGGGCTCTCTCCCAGGACAGCATGTCAAACAAGTGTGAACTCTTGAAAACATATCAAGTTACTGATAATGAAACCCTTGGAACGCCTGAAGATTTAAACTGAATAACTGAAGAGGGGTGAGGATGTGCCAGGTTGTGAGAGTTTCTACCAGGCTGCATAAAAAGCTAAACACCTTTATATGTGTTTCAAGTTATTATGAACTGATTATTTTATTTTGTGCAAATTGCACACTTCAAACTAATTTTCGACTCTGAATATAGAATTAGAAAGATTAGGGAGGAGAAAGTGTTTAGAGAGTTGCAGGGAACACTGTCCTACACTCTTAAGCCTGGTTTATACTTGATGCGTCCGCTTGTTTGCTTGAGTGCATGCAGCAAATGTGATGTCATCGCGGAGTTTGCGTAGGTTTGCTTTGGGTGCGTGCGGCATAATTTCGGCCGGCGGAGTGTATGTTTTTTTTTTGAGACTCAAGCAAACAGTGCGTGCGGCGAAAGATTTTGATTTGAGTTGAATATGAATCACTTTGAAGAGCATCTGAAGACATCATTATGGGCGAACAGTACGCAATGGTGCCATATTTGAGACTTTGCCTGAAAAGTACACCTGCACATACATCCTTATGATCCATGATCATAGAGATCACCAAATGACCAATAATTCTTGGCTAGAAATTGCAACAGCCGTGGGAAAGAGGACAGTTTTTGTTAAAAAGTTTGGAAAAACCTGAGGGATGTTTGTTAAAGCCAAAGAGGCCATGGCAAAACTGGAGACCCAGGTACATAATTACAGAATATGTTTTTTCATTAGTCGTAGGTTTTACACTGATTTATACATTACAGTTTTGAATTTAAAACAATTTAATATCAAAACTATAATTAAGGAACAAATTATTTTTTTGATAACCGGAAAGGAATATTTGACCCTATTGGTTTACAATACACTGATGCCATGTTTTTCTTGGCTTTAATGGTGATCATGGTCAGAAGTGTTGGACCATTATTGCCTTTTTAGCATAAGTATAGGACAGAAACTAGCCAGACAGTAATGTGTGAATTGTGGAGTGGGCTAAATCTAAAAAAAAAAAAACATGTATGTATAAGTGTACTTTTTTGCTTTTATTTTTGCCATAATAAAATATATTTGTAGAGCAGCCCATGTTCTTTTGTCATTAATATTTTAATAAACTTCAATAGGTAAAACTGTCTGAGATATGAACAAAAGAAAGTGATGCATCAAAGTTTGATTTAAAAAATCTTGAATGGTTCTAAAAATGCTTATAATAATTAAAATAACTTATAAAAACAATAAAAATAATTAGCTTAAAAATATTGAATGATGAAAATGATATGACGTAGTTCCGGAAATTTTCTACTTCCTTGTTTATTCATCTGACTTCACGGTCAGATTCTTTTGACCGCCCCCTGTCGTTTTAAAGAATATCACAACAACAAATGCGGTGAGTATAAAAGCCTTGTTCGCGTCGTGAGGTACGCGCGCAGTCAGAGGAGGTGTGCGATGTGGTGCCAGGTGAAAGTATAGCTTTGCATTGTGTTTTCGATCATTCACATTGTCGGATTTCACTCGTGTGAACAAACAACCATTTGCCTCAAGTTTTGGGCTTTTGTCTGCAGTTTCACTAAACTTGTTGGCGAATGAAAGTCCGCCTAAACTCGTGCGGTGTAAACTTGCCATAAGGCAATGACTGTGAGCAACTGAAGCAGACTCCCTAAAGCCCTGTTCAGACTACACAATGCCATTTGCCTGTTACGACAGATGAGATTTGTGTCAGATTATGAGATTTTGACTTGATCAAATCTTGATGTGTTGTGGGTCACAAATGAAGACTGGTTTCAGAACACTACAAGTTTATTTTGATGGACTGATTTGAGAAAAGAAACAAGTTTTCTTCATGGAGACAGTTACACTTTCTATACATGGTTGCCCTAAAATATATGTTCATGTGAAAACTCCCACATTACTACAAATAAAGTGTTGTATGGGAAACCCAGTGTCACTATTGTGAATGAGAACATGAGTAATTTGTTGTAATTCCAGTACTCAACAGACTGCTGAAGCACTTCATTTATGAATGAACAATTTTATAAAGCTAAAAAGGTTATTAACCAGGTAATGCTGTGTACAATTTCTCTTTACTTTTACCAAATTTGCCTAGTTTATAGCAAAAAAAGAGGTTTACATGGATATTGACGAGACATTCTGTAATGTACATGAGTATATGCAATTGAAAATATGCTCAGTGTTTTCAATATAACTTTCACAAAGTTGACAAAAGTTATCCTCAGTATTAAATATTAATCTCAGAAATTATTTTATTGGGTACACATCATTAATCATTTTAAACTGAAGCTCTTTAATTTTGGGCAGAATTGGATAAGAAATGTAACTTGTTTTTATTTTTTCTAATTCCTGTGAATTAAAATCTTTAAAAATGAAATGAGGTCTGAGCTGCTTAGGATTAAGCCTTTAAATAAAAAAATCCTTAAAAACTTACTACATTTTGGATCTCTAAAACATAAATTGACCAAAAACAGAGATGAAAGAGAAAACATTACAGGATAGTGTAAAAGAAAACCTCTGATCAATACTATGATGTTTTTAGGAATAACATTAACAATTGTGTAAAACTCTTTAGAATGACAAAAAAAAAAAAAAAAAACATGTTTTAAGCAGAAGTTTTTGGAATTAAGAATGTCACCATGGCTATCCTTCCTATCCAATAAAGAAAAATATAAATCCTAAAATAAATACTTATTTCGAAATAAAATAAAATGATTGTTCCATAAACAAGTTTTATGAGGACTGAAATTGTGGGAAAAAGCTAGTCTCAGCACAATAGGACCTGCTGGGGAAACAAAGTCCAAATTTAAGGTTTATTTGGGCTAGAAGTGGGTTATCATTATTTCACTGCTGTCAGAGTCAGGGATAATTCTATACATTTTTATTTTGTGTTCTCTAGAATTCTCATGAAACTCGTGAAATTAAAATTCATGCAAAATATTTTTATAAGATCTTATTTCGCTGATTGATTTCTGTTATTTATTTAAAATAATATTTGCATAATAATAATAGTTTTATTATAATAATAATAATACTTTTATTTATTTGTAATATAATTTTAATTAAAATGACAACTTTGCGAGCCTTGACCAATGCATTTACCAAGCCGCTGTCAGCAAGACTCACTGTGACACTTCTCTGCAGCAAGTGAGCGACACAGTTTATATGAACACATGAACTGTCGCTCACATGGGTTAAAGCTATGAATGAAGACATGCAATCGTTAAAAGAAATTGTAACATTTACTCTTACCAACCTAACTAAAGGCAAAGAAACAGGGGGTAAATTGTTTTTTTTTTACAATTGAGAGAGATAGTGATGGTCTGACAAATACAAAACATGGTATTTTGCCAAATGGTACAGCCAGCAAAAAGGTGTGAACTATGACAAGATTTTTTCTCCAACTGCTAACATGACTAGTATAAGAGTGTTAATGCAAAAGCTGTGCAAGAAAATCTGATTGTTCACCATTTATTCATTTTCTTTTCGGCTTAATCTCTATTAATGTGGGGTCACCACAGCGGAATGAGCCGCCAACTTATCCAGGACATGTTTTACACAGCAAAGGCCCTTCCAGCTGCAACCCATCCCTGGGAAACATCCACTCACACACACAAACACATTCACACTAGAGTCATTTTGAGCTTTTACCCAATTCACCTATACCACATGTCTTTGGACTTGTGGGGAAAACCGGAGCAAACACATGCGAACACATTGAGAACATGCAAACTCCACACAGAAATGCCAACCGACCCAGCCGAGGCTCAAACCAGTGACCTTCTTGCTGTGAGGCGAACATGCTATCCATGGGCCACCGCATTGCCCCTGATTGCTCACCTGATGGATGTAAAAGCAGCATATTTATATGCACCAATAGAATGTGACATTTTTTATAGAAACGCCAGAAGGTTATGAGTAGGCCCACATAAAATCTGTGTGCACAGAAATCCGCAGAATTTAGCCTATCATTGAGTCTATTTATTTACTTGTATAAATGTAACGTTTCAGCACTAACTAACTGCTCGGTAAATAAGAAGGTCAGTAAATAAATAAATAAATAAATAGTTGGCTAAAACGGAAGTTATCGTGACAGACAAATAATATGCACATATTAAATGTGAAATATCTAAGGTGTCAGATTAGGGGTTAAACCATCTCAGGGTTTAACGCTAAGGGTTTTTTCTTCTCGGCCAGTGGTTTAGATTTTTAACGTTACTTGCCCTATAGTGTAAAGAGAAAAAGATGGGCGAAATGTATCAATAAGTCATGAATGCAACAGTAAGTGGCAAAAAAGCTAAACAAAAAAAATGACTTTTATTTTGGCGTAGCCTGTGACGTCATCAGGTGGCGCCGCATCAGCGCTATGGTTCAACTGGACTAAGGTTTGTTTTAAAACGTTTACAGATATAAACCGATTTAAAGTTAAAGTTATGAAGTTTTAGGTTTTTTAAACGATATTAAATTATGTTCCTGCTGTCGGAAATATTATTTTACCTTTTTATACAACGTAGTACTATTTCTATAATCTATAATCTCTCATTATTTGAGAGCTATTGTTTGAATAAAGTGTGTAATTAGTGTTTTAAAGAAACGTTTTACCCGATTTCTTTTTGTTGATTACTCATATGAAGACACTTCTAAAGGGAAGTTATTTTGTTTCTGTTTATTGTTTTATTTATTTTAAACAGGACATGTTTTATTGTTTTGTTCATTTTAAACAGGATACAGTGTCCAAACACAGAGAAAAACTCCTGCTGAAGCGACTGATCTCCACACTGTTATAAAGATGGCGTTTATTAAAGAGGAGAGTGAAGATGTGAAGATTGAAGAAACATTCACAGTCAAACAGGAAGATCTGCAGGAACAAACAGGTTGGTTTTTATTCTCAAAGACCAACTCAGTCATTTGTTCCTCATTCAGATATTTTAATAATAAGAATACTAAATTAAATCCATCTTGCAGTCCTGAGTGTACTGCCTAGTTCTCCTAAATGCACATAAGCACTCATTGAAAGACAGGAATAAGTTTCTTTCTTGTTACTTGTTCTCAGGTCTTTTGTCATTATTTTATGTATTATTGTAAATTCCTTTTTTTTTACCAAATACTTTATGGGTTTACACTTGTTTCTAGTAGTTGTTACTGGCTGTTACTAATAGTATCTGAGTTAGAACCACATTATTATAATAACTAATTACCAGGGCTATTGTATTTAAACAGGGTTTCTGCGAATCATAAAATGTCTTAAATTCCAAAATCTAAATTTTAGGCCTTAAAAAGTCTTAATTTTTCTGAAATATTGTGTTGTAGGTCTTAAATCTTTTTTAAACAAGTCTTCATTTTCCTTTGTTCATGATTTACTACCCAATCTGGCCAAAACCCATACAATCCCCAACAATCCATCTCAATAAAACTTTCCACTTTTTAATTAAAAAAGGACATTTTAACTGTTTATCATAATAGTTTAATTATTTCTTTTACAATAACATTTGTTAAATGTTAAATGTATAAATGTGATCCATGTATTTACTGCTGAGGACATTGACCTGGACAGATTGTTGTGCATAGATTTAGTTTATTATAGTTTTAAAATTTTTTAAAACATTTGTTAATTTTTTTTGTATTTTTTCAAAGTTTATGTTGGC